GTGAAGAATGTGTACAGAATCATACTAAAACTATAAATATGAAACGTACTAAAACTAGATTGCTCTATTTTCCCCATTCCAGTTTTAGGTCATTACTTTTCTTTAACCTAAATGCTGTTTACTCACTAAATGTTCCAGAAATAAAATAATAATAATAATAAAAAAAATCACAAAAAATGTAAAATAAACAATACAACTTCTAGAATGACAAGTCAGCTTTTGCTATATGAAGTTCCAGTCTTATGCTAGGGACTTCTTATATGTGTGAGGATATTTATTGTCCTTAAATGAAGCTACAATGATCTGTTGAGGGATTTAGGGCTCAATTGAGGCCAACTCTTCCATCATGTGACCGGGTTCTAAAATACAACTGTAACAGATGTGTGATGGATTATAAAAAGGATTGAGCTGTATGCTTCACTCACTGAGTGCAGCCCTTAGGAAAATACTTCCTCATGCATGAATGCATTGTAATTCAAGGCTTTATTTCACAGCTTATTCCATTCACCACTGTTAGTAAGAGAGGAAAACAAGCCTGAGGAGCCACTGTTRGGCAAAACTAGGAATCTCAAGTTCAAAACAATAAAAAATCAACATTCGCTGGTCGATTTTAGACAGAATCTTACCGGGTTTTTCTTCTTCTTGTCTTTTTTGGCACTCGGCTTCCTGTTGCTGACAAAGTAGTGTAGTGTGCCATACTCTATAAGCGCAGCAAAGACGAAAATGAAGCAGACAGACACAAACAGGTCCATGGCGGTCACATATGACACTTTTGGAAGAGATTTTCTGGCAATGGTACTTAGTGTAGTCATGGTCAGCACAGTAGTGATGCCTGATAAGAAAAGAGACACARAATGGGGAAAATTAGATTTGGACAAAATAATGTCATGGAACTATTWAGCTGGGCTTTGGTGGTTTTCATCACATTTAAAACATTGCATCAATAAAAGCTGTTACCACATGCAATACTTTATTGGTTATAAAGAGAATACTCTTAATGGTGTCTCTAATGGTGAAGCAATGATGCCACAGTAATTGTGGTCTAGATTMTTTTGGAACAACTATACAGATAAAACTTCGTTGACATTTTGACATACACCACAGACATAAGTTCAATCTTAAAAAAAACAGCTGAGAAAAAAATGCATTAGTAAAAAACCACAAGGGACTGTCTAAGGATGTCAAGGGCAAATTCAAAAGCTGGCAAATTTCCTTGAAATTCTCACTTTTGTAATCTTTTTTTTTTAACCCCGTGTCCCTTTTTTGCATTCTATGAAGAGGCCACCTGCATTACTATTGTGCTGAAGTAGCATCTCCATGTCTTCCTTGTTGTGTTGCATAATTAATGCCTCATTATTGCATCCGAGCAAACAAAAAAGGTGCCAGGATGGGCTCATCCASTCAAGATGCACAAAATTCGTAAGCAGCTGCCCTGTCTCAGAGGGGGAAAGAAGGAGGAGAAAATATGCTGAAGAAGAGAGAGGGGTAAAAAAGGAACACAGCAGAAATGAGAGTTTGAGCGGGCTGCTTCATATTTTTGGGTGGTGTACAAAAACATCAAGATTTCACTTTATTTATTTAATTTTATTTCTTTAGATTTAAGCACATCATTATTTCCTAACAAGAAATAATTCGGGACAATGTGGCCTTGGTAAACATCACAATTGAAGCATTTGTGTTGAGTGAACTAAGCACAAAAATTAACTTACTAAGTACTCTGCCAGAGCTCTTTTTATGCTCTTTTTAAACTTCTGTATAGAACTTCGAATAAGTACCTAATGAAGTCCTTGCGGGTACTGCGTCCTTGTTRATCCAGAAGGATACCCAAGAGAGAACCACAATCAATGTGCAGGGAATATAGGTCTGGATGGTGAAGTAGCCCATTCTCCTGCTCAGGTCAAAAAAAACGGTCAGCACCACATAATCCCCTGCATAAAGACAAACAAGAAAATATAGAAAAATGATGATGTTATAGTGGCCTGTATGTTAAAGCACTGTGAATATGAAGTAATTGTGAACCTTTAAGGGKGGGGTGGGGGGGGGGGAGGTGTGTACGCAGAATTTACCTTTTTAAACTTTATATTACGTTATAATGTCATTCCCTTATCAAAAACATATGAGTGTTGCTTTGACTCACTCATGCATGTTTGAGAATTCTTTGAATCTCCTGTGGTAGACATGAAACTGTCTAAACACTTGCTGGTGCAAAGCTCCTCCCTGGAGCTCAGTCCACAGCTGAAATCCTGCCCCACAAAGCACCTCTCAGAGCAATGTTCCTCCAAAGCATTTTTGTGAAGACACAGTGACGTGGGAGCGTTGATAACAATAGAAGGTTTTTAAGGTGTTAGAGGCCAATTTCAAGGCATTTAGATTAATTTTTGATACAGCTTTTTCATAACAACTGAAGACAACCGTTACTTGATTGTGGTGTATAATGGAAGTATGTGCCTTTAAAATGATAATAACCCCATTTAAATCAAATCAAGTGAAAAGCCCATACAGAGATAATGTTTAAAGATTGCATTAATGTACAGCCATACTTGAAGTCCTGTAATGCAATACGGACCTCATCAAATCGTTTCATCTGATATATTATGGCCATAATGACCTGCCAACACAGAAACACCAAACAGATTAAACAAACTGTTAAGTCTTCAGTACATAATGTTGTGTAATCAAAATCTTAGTTACATGTTAGCTCAAGGCAACTTGACATCTAATAGAAAAACAAATGACTCAGCGATGTGGTGCTAAACTTGCTTGGATGCACCCAAACCCTGGTCTTATGCCATTGGTCAGCAGGAACACAAACACTGGCAGCCAGCTGGTGATGAGCTATTCTTGTATTGGCTGGCTGGCCAAAACAGATGTTGGCTGTTTAGAGTGTTGCGGTTAGCTGAGCCCAGACAGGTCTGACTCTGAGAGTACAGCTCTTCTACCCTCTCTGTTTAAATTACAAGCTAATCATGGGTACCAAGCACAGAATAACCTGTGCCCCCTTTTGCACCAGATCTTGTATTGATTTTGCCTTTTACACCTTTGCAAGCAGAATAAACTGAACCACACAGAAAGATGAATATGATTAATGAATTTTTTTTGTTTTTTTACATGGGAATTCCAGTGCTACACTTGCTAGCTTGACACYACGGCATTGCTTGCCAATAGTTACTGTCCTTCCTCTTTATCTGTCTACCAGTGTACCTGTCTGTTTCTGTGAGCTTAATGACAGTTTACTGCTGGCCTGCAGCTCAGTCAGATGTCTACTAATTGATTAACATCAGACAATTAGCAGTGTCAGAAACCTCCCTGGCTTCTTTCCATGGCTTGTAACCTTCAGGGCCTAAATGCAACGTTCCTTGTTTTTGCATTTGTGTGTCTGTGTGTGTATATTTAGACAACTATAGCACATCAAAACTATCTTTGCAGCTGGAAATGAGCAGCTGGCTATTTTTTTTTCTTTACAAGAAAGGGCACATAGTGAAAAACAGGTAACATCTGTGTTTTTGTGCACTAAAAAGTAACAAAGAAAGAGTGGAGGCTATCAGAGTTTGTTATGTCCATATGCACACAGAGCATCTGTACTTGAACCAGTTTTGTGATTCCTCCCAACATGCACCTCTCATTCACCACTGATAGTATCATTAAACAGACCAATAACCCAAGCAGCAGAACCATTACAGTTCATATTGCCATGTGTGCTTTCTGCTGATGCAGGCAGGTGTACAGGATATTACAGTGCGCTGCCATGATGTGTAGGAGTACAGGAGACACGTGAAGGCTGCTCTCAGGGGTCCAGCAGCCCACCATTCTGTTTTTATTAACATAACWTTAGCCAAGGCCCAAAACTGAGACCCCTGACAGCTGAAAAACTGCAGGTGAATACATTTATTTWAGCTTGGTCAGCACCACAAAGCCTCCTTCACAATTCTTCAGACCCTTAATGATAATGGACTTTCCACCACATGGGTGAGGTCGGTTAGTGTAAGAGTCTCTGCCTACGTTTCTCTTCATTTGCCTGCCAGTTTCATTGTGAGCCCCAGCATTGGCCAAGAAGACACTTGGTGGGGATGTTATCGACCAGCGAGCTCCATCTGCTCAGGGTAATGTATCTGTATCGGATTGCCTGCCATTACAGACCCAGTACTAATGCATCGGTTTGTTAATGACTTCCTGATTCCACTCAAAACAAAATACTTTCCTCGCTGGCCTAAATGTTTGGCAGGGATTTCACAATATGGCCATTTGGGGAGCAAATTCTTTTGTGTTCCGCATGGTCCCAGCACAATTAGTAGACTGTGCAAACTCATTAAATTACACAGATTTGTTTTATGTAGAAATGATTTTATAGCAAAAAGTGCCTAATAGCAGCATGTGTGAAATGTTTGGATTTATCAGGGTGTTAGTGTACATCATCATTACTATAAGTCACTATGCTGAAATAGCATATATATATAT